CCTCCTGGTCCAGTTTTCCTTTCTACTGTTCCCCCGTTTTTAATCTTATTCAGCCTTGCCTTGATGGTTCTTGAATGGACTTTGAAGATGTAAGCCAGGGTATGAATGTCGGTATCATTACTGAAGTCTTGAATGATCTTTTTCCTCTCACCATTGCTCAGTTGGGAAGACATAGTGGGGCTGACACAAAATGATTTTAACCTGTTCTCTTTCTAGCTGAATAACTCAAAGGGTTTTTCAGTGATTCTTACGACAAATGGTGTCAAGATGTTTAGATGTCTTATCTGAATACCTAGAAAAAAGAAACTCAATTAGTTTCGTGGATTTTTAGATATTAAACATTTTATGTGATGGACAATTATCCCTTACTGTTACACGATTTGGACAATTCTGCCGTTACACCCGATATATATATATATATATATATATATATATATATATATATATATATATATATATATATATATATATATATTGATTTATTGTTTAAACGTCATTTTTAATAGATATTTGAGTAGATGCTCTGTTTTTTAATTATTTATTAAACTTATATTTTGTTTCCATTTACATGTCTGAATATTCGAGAAATCTTGTTAGAAAAATATTCAGACCGGTAGATGGAAATAAATACATAGTACTCTGGTAAATTATCGCCATTTTATATTTTTCATTTCGTGCATGCGCGTTGTTTTTTTTATGTTTTTTTTTTTATTTTGTTGACTACTTAGTATCTTAGGGTCAGTTGGGCACCATCTGTTAGAAAAAGATCACAATGATGCAGTTTATTCCGCCAGGTATTTTAAAAAAAAAATAAAGCGTGCTGTACTGTTTGGCAATCTGAGAACAGTGCAGAGGATTCGAAAAGAGTTCGATGAGTCTAATGGTGATTACGAAGGTACGGCAGGTCGGAAAACGCACTCTGATCGTTCTGATGAGAAAAGAACTCCCGATTTTGTTGGTGAGGGCATCAGAATCAACACAAAGGCCTGCATCAAGTTCCTTGATGATGTCATGCTGCTCTGAGCAAGACATACCACACAAGCAGGAGAACCCAGTTATGGCTGTCAGATAATTTCTGCGACCACATCACATCTTACATCTGGCCACCTAACTCCCCAGATTGCAAACTCCTTGATTCTTATGTGTAAGGTGCAGTTGGGCGAGAGACCAACAAAATTTCTTGTAACATCAAAGATGAACTGAAAGCAAAGATTATGGGAGCATACACCCCAAAACCAGGAGACCGCCCAGAACAATTGCAGGAGATTCCGAAATCGTCTGTAGGATGTAGTTGAAGCCAATGGCGATTTTATTATATAAATTTACTCTTTAGTATTTCAAGATATGTTTCCGTAATTTTGGTAAATATATCTGTTAAAATAAGATGTCAATGTTATTTTTCATTTTTGCGTAATTTAGACAATTTTTACATTGCACCCAGTATATATAAAGTCAGAAATTATTACACTCTTATATAAAGATAGTTTTTGCTTACTCTCATATATATATATATATATATATATATATATATATATATATATATATATATATATACAAATGTAAAAAGAAGGAAGAGTAAGATTTCAGCGTTCAAAACATTACTCTAAAACAGAGCTCAATACAAAAGTAGATCAATAAATATTTATTCATTATGCAGTGTTACTATGCAGTGTCATTATGCAGTGTATATATATATATATATATATATATATATATATATATATATATATATATATATATATATATATATAGTGAAATCTCTCATCGCGGACGACAAATGATGGCTCAGTAAAATAAAGAGGTGATCAACTTTTATGGACACGCATGTGTCTGCCAAGGCCTGAAAGTGTTTTGAAAAGTTTTAGACAAATGGATCATGTGGATGAGCCATTTTGTTCGAGTCGATTAATGTTACTGCGAGTTGACAGCATATTGTGCTTTACTGCGTGCGACAATGCCATGGTGGCAGGTAAGGCTATCATCTCGAAGGCGAACATGCTGTCATCTTTCTTTGTTATTTGCACACAATTGATCCCAATGTTCAAGTCGGCCTCGCTCAAATCTTTGTATAGATGAAAATCAGGACAGGAGCCAGGACCTCCGCTCTGAAGCTTTATTCTCCCAGGAAGAAAAGGAGATGCCGTATCGTTTCAGATTCTCTTTGAGTTTATCTTTGTAACGCAAGACTAGCATTCCAGCTTACGTGCTTGGTAGAAGAGCATACCTGTTTGCTATGGCCTATTTAGGTACATTTGTGTTTGTTCAACACCTACAGAGCCCACCAGTTGTTTATACTGCAACTATGCTGGTCTGACTTATTTTAATAATTTCACTCCAAACAAGGCAATAAAGCCACTAAACGCAAAGTTGTATGGATCCTTTGGTGGGGATTGCTCTTGGGGCCGCGGTTTGAGTCACTCATAATGTTACCTTCTTCTTTGTCGGCCGTTGATCGCCAGTTGTTTTGTTCGTCGGTAAAAGAGAACTTCAACAAAAGGGATTTTACATCTTACTAGTTTATCAACCACGTCAACGTGGGGTTGCTAACTAGCCAGTGGGGTTGCTATCCCACCCTACTGGGGGGGGGGCAGTTTCCGAGACACGAAAAGAACCACGTCTACTTTGTACGAAGTGTAAAACTTAACTCCCCGAAATCCTTTCCTATCTCTAACATTCTCACGCTCGTTTTAGCCACTCAAAAACGACTTCCTTTATTTCCTTGTATCTGGCCTCAAAGGTCAAAATGAGGAAGTCAAAGGAGAATACAATTCTCTAAAAATAATAGTCTTCTAGACTATTATTTAACAGCAAGTGTTAGAGAAGATGGTTAGTTAGGTTAGGTTGATTTTTTTTACGGCATATCAACATCAATGTGTTATTTAATGCCGCCAAAATTTTTTATTTTAGGTAATATTTTGTTTTGTAAAAAATCTGTTTCGGGTTATATTTTTCCTTCGAAATTGCATTGCTGATAATAATTTTTTCCAAAAATAGTATTGCTGTTAACTATTTGCCCATAGCTGGGACCCTAACAGGTGTAACCACCCCGGGTCAGGGTGGTCCTGGGAACACCAGCAATTAAGAGGTGGTTCCACGCTCCTCAAAACCTCCCAATCAGAGGCCTTGCTGCTGGACGTAGTTTATCGTCTTACCCAGGACGCGTATGTAGTTTATCGTCTTACCCAGGACGCGGATGTAGTTTATCGTCTTACCCAGGACGCGGATGTAGTTTATCGTCATACCCAGGACGCGGATGTAGTTTATCGTCTTACCCAGGACGCGGATGTAGTTTATCGTCTTAGTGTATAAACTGGCGTGATCAGCAGTTTGAACAAGGCCAGTACGTTCAAACACTCGGTCATGATGACTTGAGACTTTGTGCTAGCACAATGCTACATTATACGAATTCTGCGGGAATAGAGGTTAAATTAAAAGCATTTTTTTTTTTACGACTGCCCTCCGATTGATTGTTTGCCATTTGTATTACAGTGTACAGGAGGGTAGAAATCAATGAAAGACACGTTTATCTAACCATTTATTCGGGTGAAAAATTACTAAGGAACGGTGTCAACCTGTTTTACTTGCAATATTTGAAATGCTTTCTATCAGTTGCTGCCAAGAAGGCTCAGAGTGGCACACGTCGTCAAGTTCAATTTTACACAAACTTTGCATTCAATTTCCTTGATAAGCGGCATATTACGATACACACACACACACACACACACACACACACACACATATATATATATATATAGAGAGAGAGAGAGAGAGAGGGAGAGAAAGAAAGAGAGAGAGAGGCACGGTGGAGTAATGGATAGCGGCTTGGATTGAAGAATCGCAGAGCCGAGTTCGAATTCCAGTCGAATCCATAACATTTCACTTACGTGCTAATACCCTTGGGAAAGGTATGAATCCTCTTCTTCTCCCTCCAGCTATGGGTAAAATAGCATGACAGACTGGGTTCTATAGCCTTGGATGGCAACTCTGAATTCAAAACCTGCGGAGGGTCGTTTGGGGACCTTGTGGCACTTAGTGCACCAGGTCTCTGTATTCGTCCCTTCAAAAAGTGTGGATGGTCCTACACGAAACCTTCCCCACTATAATCAAATCTCATGTGCCGTTGTCGGGCTGTCGGTCTCCTGGGAACTGATCTGCTTGACCCTCATACGTCGAATTCGACAGGAGAGTCGACTATATATATATATATATGATAATAATCGACTCTCCTATATATATATATATATATATATATATATATATATATATATATATATATATATATATATGTATGTATGTATGTATGTATATATATATATATAAGTACGTTCATAAGCAACCCCAAAGAAGAAAATATGGATATCTTATACATTCATATTTTCTCGCCTGAAAAACTTCTCACCTATTTATTCGATCGAAATCTCTGGAAAAGTTTTTTCGCTCTGTGGTACCAAAATAATTCTTCTCGTCAGAATCCCTCTTACACATTTATAAATCAGTCATTCGTTCTTGCATTGAATGTCGTTGCCGTATCTGATCTCATGCTTCGACTACTTACCACGAGATTCTTGAAAAAATTCAAAGAAGAACCTGTAATGCAAACGGCCCTGACCTGGCATCTCGGCTTCAGTCACTTTTCCCAACGACTCTGTCTTTTCTACAAATATTTTCGTGACAATTCTCCTGATGAACTGTTCTTCTGAGTGTCTTGACTGCATGAATTTAATCGTGCTACTAGATTGGCAACTAGGTCACACCATTATACTGTCAATCTAGCTAGATGCAACCGCCACTTCCATTCTAACAGTTGCTTTTCTTGTACTTCTCACCTGCGAAACTCTCTTCTGATTTCTTCCTTTTCTGACTCCTACAATATTCAAAGGTTTAAATTCAACTTCAATCGCCATCTTCTGTCGTATTGTAAACACTATTTCTCCATTGTCTTATTCCTCAATTATCCTCATTAAAGTTTTTTCTCACTCCCCGTAACACCTGCGTCCTAGTGACATTGTCACCTTGCTTGGAATAAAACGATTAAAAATCCTATTCCTATCTATCTATCTATCTATCTATTTATCTATATATATATATATATATATATATATATATATATATATTCTTTTCATATCTATCTATCTATCTATCTATCTATCTCATTCTTTTCATATCTATCTATCTATCTATCTATCTATCTATATTTATATCATTTTTCAGTCTTCATATCTTCTCTATCTATCTTTTTATGTTTTTTCATATCTATCTATCTATCTATCTATCTATCTCATTCTGTTCATATCTATCTATCTATCTCATTCTTTTCATATCTATATATATTTATATCATTTTTCAGTCTTCATATCTTCTCTATCTATCTTTTTATGTTTTTTCATATCTATCTATCTATCTATCTATCTATCTATCTATCAGTCTGTCCATATCTATCTATCTATCTATCTATCTCAGACTTTCCAAGAAAGTTTAGGATCCGACATTTCTCTACCTGACTAATCGTGAATTATGAACACGACGCTTTCCCTGGAGATCTACGGTGTTACCCCAGTATGACTTTTGCTCGTGATTCGGGGATCGGTTTAAAAATTACCAATGAGCATAATCGACAATTTTATGAGTTGTAACATTAGAAAGCCTTCCAAACTCTACTGTACTTTGACTCTCAGGATCTCCTTGACTAAAGTTGACACACCACTTCTTCCCAGTGCATCACAACGGCCATTTGTCATTCAATATTTGCAATTTGGACTCATAGATTTTCTTTGAATTTTTCTTCTTCAGGAACAGATTTCATGACAGGAAAGGATTCAACAGCTGAAAAATCTACATTTTCAGTTCTCTTAGTTCAATCTGGAAGATATTTAATAATATTTGCAAGGAACCGGCAAGTGGCCATTTTAAACTTTGCGACGCTTTTCAGCTGCGATGACAAAATATTAAATAAATTTGATAATTCCTCATCTAAAAAAAAATTGACGATTAATTTTTGAAAATTTCTCTTGGTGTGTTTTGGGATGAAAAGAAATCAGTTACGAATGGTAAATCAATAACAATCTTTGAAAATAGGCGAGAATAGCAGTGTTTTTTTTTTTGTTTTTTGTGCGGTGAGGATTGGCAAACAAAGAAAATACTCTATAAAATGCTTCAATCCAATTGGAAATGCAAGAAAAGAAACTGTTGTCGTAGAAGTGTCTGTTGTATCTATCTATTTCAGCAGTAAAATTGTGGGACATAGATAGCACTTTAGTAGCGCGCTTAGATTCATGTATTCTGGGCACCAGAGAAAAAAGATCGTCAGAGCTGTTGCTATGAAAATATTTGAAAATATTTCTAAAAACGCAGAAAACAGCCACGTCGCATCGGTGAGAAAATGACTGAATCCTTCTTTGAATTTTGTCAAAAATCTCTAGATGTAAAGAGAGAGCACAAAACCAGATATGGGAAGAGTATTCCATGCAGGGACGAATGGTAGATTTGTAAATGTGCTGGGTGGATTCTGACGAGAAATCTTTTTTCACAGTGAACCACCTTTTCTCGCAACAAATGCAACTCGTGATTCAATGTAGTTATGTACTAGCCATCTGAGTTTTTAGCACCATAAGGAATCTGATTTTCTCTATTACTGTTGTTTGGTGTCCGGCTCATATTGACGAGACAAGGTTGCATTGATAAGTTTTCTCACAGAATTATGACTAGATCGCAAAGTCAATTTGGATATGGGCTCTCGGTATATCCTCTCTAGTCGACCTTAACATAGTTTAGGATCCGACATTTCTCTACCTGACTAATCGTGAATTATGAACACGACGCTTTCCCTGGAGATCTACAGTGTTACCCCAGTAAGAATTTTGGTCGTGATTCGGGGATCGGTAAAAAAATTTACCAATGAACATAATCGACAATTTTATGAGTTGAAACATTAGAAAGCCTTCCAAACTCTACTGTACTTTGACTCTCAGGATCTCCTTGAGAAAAGTTGGCACACCACTTCATCACGACAAGCATTTGCCATCCGACGTTTGCAATTTGAACTCATAAATTTCCTTCGAAGTTTTCTTCTGCAGGAACAGGAGCTTTTGTCAAGAATCTCTAGATGCACAGAAAGAGCACAAAACCAATTCTGTGAAGAGTATTCCATGCAGGGACAATTGGTAGATTTGTAAATGTGCGGGGTGGATTCTGACGAGAATTTTTTTCACGCTGAACCACCCTTTCTCAAAACAGATGCAACTATTGATTCGATGTAGTTATATACTAAGCATCTGAGTTTTTTGCACCATAAGGAACCTGATTTTCTCTATTGCCATTACTGTTGTTTAGTGTCCGGCTCATATTGACGAGACATATTGCAACAAAAAGTCCTCTCCAAGAAATATGACTAGATCGCAAAGTCAACTTAGAAATGGACAATCGACATATCCTCTCTAGTCGACCTTAACACAGTTTAGGATCCGGCATTTCTCTACCAAACTAATCGAGAATTATGAACACAACGCTTTCCCTGGAAATCTACAGTGTTACCCCAGGAAGACACTTGGTTGCGATTTGGCGATCGGCTAAAAATTTACCAATGAACATAATCGACAATTTTATGCGCTGAAACATTAGAAACATTGGTTGTCAGAATCTCCTTGGCGAAAGTTGGCACATATTTCCCTACCCAACTAAACAGAAATTATGGACACAACACATTTCAATACGGCTCTACTTCTGAATTCGAAAATGTTCTCCCTTCCAAACGTGTCATAAATCTTGGAAACGGAAAATAGTCACATAGAGGAAGGTTCGCTGAGTAAGCTGGATGTACAATGGACTCAAACTACAAAATGTCTACCCTTATGTCATCGGAACAGAAAGTTCACTTTAACTGTTTGCTCCTGAAGTCAGTTATCAAATACATTCCTTATTCCCTCAAAAATTGTGTCTAGGGTTGCATTGATATTAACGAATCGTTCAATGAATTATCACTATATCACTGAAAATAATGCAATATATATATATATATATATATATATATATATATATATATATATATTTATACATTCTTTTATTCTTTTTATCTTTTTTTTTTATCTTAAAATAATTGTCGGACATTGTCCATTTTATAATGCGTGACGTTATATATATATATATATATATATATATATATATATATATAACTTTCCCTGACGATCCGTTTAGGTGAAACCTAGGTAGGTTTGTCTGGCTCACTAGGTGTATCTATATATATATATATATATATATATATATATATATATATATATACAGTGTAACCTGGATATAAGAGACACGGATATAAGAGAGATTTTCTCTGGTCCCAAATTAGAGCCTGTGTTAATGCATATAAAAAAGACCAAACCCGGATATAAGAGAAACCCAGATATAAGATAAACCCGGATATAAGAGACTTCTCCGGTCCCGGCAACTCTCTTATATCCGGTTTACATATATATATATATATATATATATATATATATATATATATATATATATATATATATATATGTTCGTATCTATATATCTAATTACCTTTTTCAGTTTATTCATATCAATCTATCTGTCTATAAAATTATCTCTCTATCTATCTATCTATCTATCTATCTATCTATCTCTTTATTCAGTCTATTCATATTTATCATTTTTCATTCTATTCACATATATCTTTTTCAGTCTACTCATGTCTATCTATTTTCAGTCTATTCATATCTATCTATCTATCTATCAGCTATCTATCTATCTATCAGCTATCTATCTATCTCTCAGCTATCAGCTATCTATCTATCTACCTGTCTGTTTTTATTCAGTCTATCCATATATATCTTTTTTTCAGTCTATCCATGTCTATCTGTCTAAATCTGTTCATATCCATCTAAGCGTATGTCTATCTGTCTGTCTATCTAGCTATCTGCGCCGATTCCATTCTAGCTTACGGACAAACCCCCGCTGTAAACACCGGTTCTCGTTCGATCACCGAAGTTAAGCATCGTAGAGCCAGGTCAGTACTTAGACGGGGGACCGCTTGGGAACACCTGGTACTGTAAGCCCCCAAAGTCCAACCCTTACCTCACAGTCGGTGGGGGGGGTTAAACAGTAGTGTCAGAGCTATGCCGCCCGGAACTTCGTTCCTGGTAGGGCCACCAAGGCGGACAGGTCTGACACACACGCCGGCTAACAAGGGCTCTGGTGAAAATCCAGGAGCGTCTGCATCGGCAACCGGCGGCTTCTGGTCGTTCCTGTCTCTGCGTCTGTGGGAATCCCGCGGCAAGCAAGAACGTTATCCGAGTAGGCCTGGGTACCCTACTTCTGTAATTTATCCCAAGAATCTTCTTCTCATAACAGGAAGAAGCCGGCTCAATCCGCCCAGGGTGAATGCCGCATCAGTACGGTACAGTACAGTACAGTATCGTGATCACTGTTTAGATGGGGGACATCTTGAGAACAAAGGATGCTATAAGCATACTACTACAATTTGAAATACGTTTCGCCTTTAAATAACCCTGTTGATAAGCCGTAAAGCACAAAATCAATTAATTAAATCATTGTTCATATCTATATCAGTCTATTGCTGAGAGAAATCGCTCGCTTCAACAATGGTGCGTTTATTTCCCAGTGTCTGTAGATGGTGTTTGCACCAAGATAACAGGCAAATATTAAGAGTGACCTTCCCTAGCTATAAGATTGGCGCAACATAATCACCCTACTCTTAACCGAAGTCTATACAATTACGTACCTGTATTATCTACAATATCTACATTGTATCATAACCTTTCACGAACAAACACACACACACACACTTTATCACTCAGTTCTATTCATCTGCCGACTCTCGTTTTATTTTCTACCACTTTCTTAGCCCCACCCCTCACGCACCCTAATACTACCCACTTCGCCCTGCCGTCGTTCTTTCGAAGCGAAAAACAAACACACTTTGCCATGTCTGCAAGAGTAATTACTTGCTTCCAAATGCAAGCCTCGAATGCCATTACTAATAGGAATATCGCGTTTTGCCGTCAGATACCTAACAGTCCCGACGACACGGGTAGAGGGAATAAAAAGAAATAAGAAAACGAGAGAGAATGTGAAAGAGAGAGAGAGAGAGTGAGAGAAAGAGAGAGAGAAAGAGAGAGGGAAATTATGAGAAGAGAGAGAGAGAGGGAATACTCTGTATACGAGAGGAAATGTTAACAAAATGAAAAACAGTCGAGGAGGTTCAACTGTGTAGTAGTAGTAGTAGTAGTAGTAGTAGTAGTAGTAGTTTTAAAGACTTTTGCATGTGTTCTTTTTCCAACATAAGTTAGGCAGATGTGTGCCGACGGACAAGTAATGGAGATTAGGCGGGAAAAAAAGCAGGAATCAGTTGAGGTAGGTATGGTGGGGAAAATAAGAGGAAAGTATGAATTGGTAAAGAAAGAAGAAAACCAACAAACAAACAAAAAAGAAAGAAAGAGAGAGAGAGAGAGAGAAAGAAAGAAAGAAAGAAAGAAAGAAAGAAAGAAAGAAAGAAAGAAAGAAAGAAAGGGAGAAAGAAAGAAAGGGAGAAAGAAAGGTGCAATGATTTCTGGCGTTGTGTTGAAGCCGTAAAAAAAAAGAATGATCAGAAAATGTCAGAAGACAACTTCCCAAGAAAAACGGAGAGAGACGAAAACTTTAAATATGAGAAATATGAGATTCAAATATTTCATTGTGCAATAACTATCCCTTTGTACACACACACACACACACACACATATATATATATATATATATATAAAAGGCTAAAACACTAATATTTATATTTTCTTATATTATATTCTTATTCAGTCCTGGACATTGAGTTCTACCTGTATTCTATCATCTTGGGAATTTGTGCGTATATATATATATATATATATATATATATATATATATATATATGTGTGTGTGTGTGTGTGTTTGTGTGTGTGTGTGTGTGTGTGTATGTATATATTGAACACTAATATTATATATATATATATATAAATTACACCTGAAGATGTACATATATAATTTACCCCTGAAAATAATCATGGAAAAGATTGAAAGAAAAAAATCTGCGGCGACTTTCCTGAATTTCATCGTAACGTCACCAAACTGATGAGGCAACTAGAAAGGATCAATATAAAAATAAGTAGACTATATTATTCAATAAAACATGTTTGAATGAAGATATGCTGCTTAAATATATATATATATATATATATATATATATATATATATATATATATATATATATATATATATATAGAATAATCACATATTAATCAAGTATCCGATTATCGACATCCATCGCTAGAAAACATAATATATGCATTAAAATCCTGTTCATCCATAGTTTTTGATTTTATAAGGAAAAAAAAACACATGCCTGATGATGGATGGAAGACTGTCCGTAAGTACTAGCATTTTAACATCAAATAAACTAAAAACTACAGACAACAAGTTTTTCTTCAAGGATCAAAACTCGCACTATGGATGAACAGGATTTTAATGCATATATTATGTTTTCTAGCGATGGATGTCGCCAATAATCGCATTGATACTCTGATTAATACTATGTGTGATTAATGTTCATATAATGTTTGATTATATATATATATATATATATATATATATATATATATATATATATATATATATATATATATATATATATATAATAGCTGGTCACACGTATTCGAGGATAACCGTCTCCAAGACGGCTAGCCAATCCCTTTGTAGACGTTCACTCAGGCACCAACAGAGCCCGCCTCTGGTTTATATTTCAACTATGCTGAGCAGACCTTACTCTCTGCGAGAGAGCGTGTTAACTAGCGTAATCAACGATTTGAACAAGATACACACAAGATATATATATATATATTGGAGGCTATCTACATTAAAACAAAGCAACCCACACTCAACAAATTACATTTCAAACTAGTCACAACACATTACATTGCATCAACACATATGATTTTGTTGTTAGTATTTCGGTCTCTCGCCTAGTATGACATCATAGAACCGCGCCTCGAACTTACGAACAGCGTCTGCTATTCTGCGACCGTTATCGTCGCATAGCAATCTTCTATGTCAACATAATATATTATCTTCGATGGTGAATATCTTTGTTAAAATGTCCATATAACCACTCTGATAATGACTCATGGGAGCCGAAAACTTAGATCAAGGACCAACTTAATGAAATGTTGAATAATTTTTGTCTTTATTTTCACCCGTAATTAAAACAAAATACGAACATTAGAACGGCTCATGATAGGACATTATTGACATTCATTGCCTGTTATATTTAACGATATAAGTTTAAATAATGATCTACTGCCCCAAGACATTAATTTTTATCTATAAAATGCAGGATGTGCGTGTGTGTGTGTGTGTGTGTGTGTGTGTGTGTGTGTGTGTGTGTAATGAATGCACGGCCGCAATTTTAGACGGATTTGCACCAAAATTTACATGCACATGCTCCAAGTCAGTAAGAAGGCCAAGACCGATATTGC